AAAAAAGAAAGATTTTTTTTAAATGGTGGTCATTAGTATATATTTATGTGTAGTTTGGAATTTTTAAGGAGAAAATTTTGTAATTTCTTGTATTATTTTGGTATAAGATTACTGTAATTAGTTACAGTAATTACTCTCCCTGGAGATTCAGACAAGAATGCGAAGGAGGCTTGCCCATTTCTTTGATATAAAAAACTGTCTATAATATTTCAGATAGGTAATAAACGTGTTCTGTGAGGATTTTATCATTCATGTTGTTGTTGTGTTTTGCTGTATATTTGTGACTTAAAATTTCTGTAAATAATATTGTCTGATTATTAATATTTAAAACCAAAAGGTGTTAATTTTGAATGAGAAAAACACTAATTACCATATCAAAATTTAAAGTTGTAATATTATATTATTAACATTTAAACAAAAAGTGTTAATTTTGAATGAGAAAAACACTAATAACCATATCAAAAATTTAATGTTGTAATGTTATATTATAAAATCTAGGTTACGACAGGTGCTGTATGGAAAATAAATATTGTATATGAAACTCTAGATAGTGTCATCATATGTTAATACTTTATAAGCAGCTCTAAAATTGTATCAAATGTCAATATTTTATAAGAAACACTTTAAAAGTACAGTATCAAATTGTTGTTTATAAAGTCTTTGCTTGTAACTGTATATGATCTACATATGATATCTACATTATAATAGAGCTCATATGGAAGACAGGCTTGCCCAACTCAGTTGCTTGTTAAAATAAAGTCAGTATTATTATTAATATATCTATAATTATTATAATTATTATTAGTCCCCTACCGGTTTACCGGAGGTGACTTTAGGTTTACCCTCCGTCCGTCAGTCCATCCGCCTGTCCGTCCGTCAGTACGTCCGTCCACAAAACTGGATCCCGCGATAACACAAAAAGTACTGAAAATATTTTAATGAAACTTGGTATATGGATAGATGGCAGTATGGAGATTATGCACGTCTTTTTCTTTTCTTCCTATGTTGAAAATTCTGGTTGCTATGGTCCGGCCGTCCACAAAACTGGATCCCGCGATAACACAAAAAGTACTGAAAATTTTTTAATGAAACTTGGTATATGGATAGATGGCAGTATGGAGATTATGCACGTCTTTTTCTTTTCTTCCTATGTTGAAAATTCTGGTTGCTATGGCAACAAATAGGCTGAAAATATGGCAAATTTTACACATAACCTGGATCCCGCGATAACGCAAAAAGTACTGAAATTTTTTTTATGAAACTTGATATATGGATAGATGGCAGTATGGAGATTATGCACGTCTTTTTCTTCTTTTCCTATGCTGAAAATTCTGGTTGCTATGGCAACAAATAGACTGAAAATATGGCAGATTTTACACATAACCTGGATCCAGTGATAACGCAAAAAGTATTGAAAATATTTTTATGAAACTTGACATATGGGTAGATGGCAGTATGGAAATTATGCACATCCTTTTCTTATCTTCCTGTGTTGAAAATTCTGGTTGCTATGGCAACAAATAGACTGAATTTCAAGATTTCTGATTCTAGTTTTTAAGTTTTTTCACTATAAGTTCTTTATTTCTTAAGGTATTTTCTTCAAACCTTTAAAATAAGTTGCTAGTCATCAACCACATCATATGTGACAAAGTTTACAACCCTAGCACAAAATTTATCAGAATTACCTCCCTTGAACTTAAAATTTTCATGAAAAAAAAAACATTGTTTTTTTTAATAACTTCTTTTTTTCTGAACGTATCTACTTCAAACTTCATATAAATGTTTCTTATTATCACTCAACATTTGTGAGTGTTCAATACTCTAGCAAGACTATTTCCAGAATTATGCCCCTTTTGAACTTAGACTTTTTTTTGAGAAATTGGTAATTTTTACTCCAACTTCTTCAATCATGATAGAATTTTCTTCAAACTCCCACATCATTACAATATGACAAGGTTTATAAATCTAGCATCCATATTTCCAGAATTATCTCCTCCTTAAACTTTTAATTTTTCCTATTTGTTCTTTTAACTTTCATTTACTTCAATTTCAAAATAAATATTCAATATTCATACCTTCATTACTAATTGTTCTTTGTTACACTCGCATCATGTATGACATCGTTATCTCCTTTTTTTTAAATTTTGCTTTTAAAATGTTATATTTTGATAACAGGGATGTTTAAAAAATAACTTTAGACTGTCCTTCAGTCCGTCTGTCTGTCTGTTCACTGTGATCACTTTTAAAGAACTTTTTCAACAAATTTACTTAAAATAGAAACATAAGTGAATGGCCAATGGCCCTTCAGAATGTTGCTTGGGCTCTTACCGGTAGGGGACTTATGGATTGCTTGCAATACTATGATAATTGCTTGTTATTTTAAGAAACACTTAAGGTACAGTATCAAATATTAATATTTTATAAGAAACACTTAAGATACAGTTTTAAATATCAATACTTTATAAGAAACACTAGGTACAGTACTATCAAATATTAATATTTTATAAGAAATACTAGGTACTGTATCAAATATTAATATTTTATAAGAAGCACTAGGTACAGTATCAAATATCAGTACTTTGTAAGAAACACTAGGTGCAGTATCAAATATTAATATTTTATTAGAAACCACAAGTGTATCAAATATCAACATTAAAAAAAAATACCCCCCTCTCCCCCAAAAAAAAAAAAAAAAAAAAAAAACAAACAAAAAAAACCCAAAAAAAACCCACAAACACTGTGAGTGTATCAAATAAAAATATTTTATAAGAAACAACCATTTATTATTATCAAATATCATAATTCAAGAGAATTGCAGGGCAATATATCAAATGCCTGTATTTTTTACATTCCTAATTGAACAAATGTACAATCAAGGGTCAATATCAATAATAAATGAAATTTATGTATTTTTGCTGGAGTTGAACTGACTTCTCATCAAAGCATCTGCATGCTTTGTTGTATTGAAAAATATTCTCTGTCTCTTTTACGTTTTTTGTACAATTAACTAATAAATTATTTTAAGTCTGTAATTTTCAAAGTACTTTCATGTTATATTTGAAATAGTAGTTCTGAATGCCAGCGTTGCGTTATTGACTTGTAATTGTAGGAAATACATGTATATATCATTCCAACAATTTGCAGCTTTTGATAAAGAATTTAAGGAATTTGATATTAGGAATTGCGATGTAGCATTAAAGCATGATATACTGAGTGACCCTTATGGTACTAAATATTTAAAAACGGACATTTTCGTCTTGCAATCCAGACAAAAAACATTTTTATTTTTAAAGGAAAATTTCAAAATATTTATTTCTGAATAGTAAATAATGTGTCGGCTGATCTTGGTCTGCACTGGTCACATGGGTAGAATCCGTCGCGGCCAGCAGCCTGGTCCCACTATAAAGCTGTGAATTCTTCTGTAGACTTACAAAAGCAGAAAGTGGGTGGGTGGGGGGTGGATGGTGTCCACGTTCTAGTTTATCACGATTTAATGTAAAACAATGAATATTGATCTGCCTGTATTGTTTTTGATTGGCTGAATCATAATTAAGTTGTATTTCTGGTAAATTTCTCAGCTGTTACAATAAGAATAACTGCCATCTTTGTAAGCGCAGATTGATGAGCATTGTATTGGATATGATTGTACAAATTTGACAACGTGGTTGTATCATATGTGTATTATCTTTCTACCGTGTTACTCTAGATAACCAGACTTTCTGAAAGAAAACAACTGTGGAATTAGATTGGTAAATATCTGTTGGGTGATTGGGCAGACGTTAAAAATTTCTTATGTTCACATTTACAACTATATTTTAATGTCCGCTGGCTGGATGGGCAGGCCTAAAAAAATTCTTGTGTTCGTAACAACTCCTATAAAATTTATGCAGAGTGGATTATCAGGCAGGCATTAACAATTTCTTGCGTTTGCAACTACTCCTATACATTTCTCAAGAGATTTTTCCGACCAAAATGTTGTTTATGGATGTATTACCAAAATGTTGTTTATGGATGTTTTGTCTCTACTTGGACATTATTATAACTCTTACCTTCCAGACATTAGCTTCAAGAAGGCATAAATGAACTTGACCTTTATTTGACCTTGACCTTTAAGGTCAAATAATCAAAGTTTGCTGAAATTTAATATTACTTTGAATAAATGGATGGATTTTGACTTTTAAGTGATCTTGTCTGTCAAGGTCAAATTATGAATTTTTCATATAACTGGTGATAACTTATTTGAATGTTATTAATGTTTGGTTTCAATTCATAATGCGACAAAATTACACTTAAGACATTACACCTAAATGATGAATATGAACATAAAACAACAATATGCACACAATGTACTTTCCTGGATGTCTTTGATAAAATGAGGAATAATGAAAATCCTTGTTTTGCCTCAATTCCTTTCGCTTGTTTTGAATTTCTTTTTTTTTATATTTCTTTTAATGTTGTTTTCCTATAGAACATAATTTTGCTAATAGCTAATATATATATATATATATATATATATATATATATATATATTCACACATATCTTCACTTACGGGGCCCATATATAAGACCGAGTTGAGTGGCATTATTTCATGCAGTCAATTTTTATATACGCCACTATATAGGCCTATAATGAACATTTCCATACAACAGAACTAAGGGGTACTAATTATATATATAAACTATATATTTGATTTTACCATAGGTGAAAACATATTGACCAATAACATAAAACCCCATAATAAATATATACATTTGTGGGACATATATCATTTACTACTAAAAACCGGCCTACGGGCACTATGTTAGAAGGGTAGCCTACGCCCCCATACATCGTTTTAAACATGCCAGAGTTGCGAGGCCTTATGTATGCCCCACATTAAATATACACCCCACAAGTATGGTCTCAAATAGACCGATGCCCCGTAAATGGAGGAATGTGTTTGTATATATATATATATATATATATATATATATATATATATATTTTTTTTTTTTTTCAGATATTCAGACCAGTTTTGAAAATCCGCATTCTTTACCTGATGAGAATATGGAGCAAGCAGACGAAAGGATTATGTGTGATTTTCCGAACCATAACTGGTTGTTCAACAAGTATAATATCAGTGAAGTAAGGCCGGAAAAGGACCACCCAGTCAAAGATGTCAAAGGCAAGAAACAGAGAAAGGTGAGAAAATTCTTATTTTGGTAGAAAGCAATAAACAAACGAGTGACTTAAAATTCAACAAAATAAACAAACAATACTTAACTGGCATCAAAATGTAAAAATTTTTGTTCTTGTTGGGCATGTTCAAGAAAAAACATCGACTGAAGGAAGCTGAGTTTTATATTTATACATTTATCTGTAGCCCCTTGTGACTGAGGAGTTGCCTTTTATGGTTGAGGCATAAGAATTGCAGCTATTGTATATCCCTGTGTGATCATATGAGGCAACTTAATGGGTTTGAATAACAGGAGTCTATGCATGGGTGTGGTTGTTTTGACCGTAGGCCCTGTGCTCTCTTTAAAGAAAAGATCAGGAGTTTTTAAATGTGAACCTGATCTTGATCCTGAGTCTTAAATCTTTGTGAGCACGGGGCCTCCGGTGTTGCTTATAAGTTTTTTGTAACACCTGAAGTTAGCCAAAATCATATTTCTCATTCTGGCACCATAATTATGACCTTTACTGTGTTGGTGCACTATAAAACCAAACTAACAAGTAATCTGTGTAAATAGGGGGCCTCTGCGGCCGAGTGGTTAAGTTCACTGACTTGAGATCACAGGTCCCTCACCGCTGTAGGTTCGATCCTCAATCGGGTCGAAATCTTTCATGTGAGGAAGCCATCCAGCTGGCTTACGGAAGGTTGGTGGTTCTACCGAGGTGCCCACTTGTGTCTGAAATAATGGCACCTGGGGTCTTCCTCCACCAATAAAAGCTGGAAAAAATCAACGAAAAAATCTTGGTGGGACGCTCTAGGATGGCCCAACTTGAGTGTACGGTCGCCCATATGGACTTTCCGGCGGCGACCTTAAATAAACGCTTTAGAAAAAAAAAATCTGTGTAAATTAATGAACTGGAAATGAAATAGCCTTGGCCACCAGCATAGACTGCCAGGCCAGCCTGTATGATTATTATCTGCCATCTGCATGACCAGAATCTATACTGGCCTACTTTTAAATTTTCATATTTATATCCCCAAAATTAATAATGGACAGGTCCAATGGAAAAGTATACTTTAGGAATTCAGGAGTTGAAGGGTCAATGCAGAAGTATTATCATTCTTCAGCAATTAATTTTATGGATAAAAGAGACCTAGGTAAAATAAAAATGAATTAATGAACTATAGTTTGCATATTTTCAGGATGACAAAGACCTGACAAAACATTCCAAAGAAGTAAAATACAGACGAAAATCTACAGCAAACATTTTACCAACCCAACTAAAACAAAGTAGAAGCAAGAGTGAGAATTTCCCAGAAAGTCAAAACTACCACAAAGAAGGTATTTTACCAACCCAACTAAAACAAAGTAGAAGCAAGAGTGACAATTTCCCAGAAAGTCAAAACTACCACAAAGAAGGTATTAAGATCAAATGGAAGAAGGTCAAGAAAAGGAACTCCCTTAGTGACAGTGTGAATTTTGACGAGAAAATTGAGCGAATTTCCGAGAAAGTTGTGGATAGGACAGTTGATAAAGATAAAAGCGTTGTAAATGTTTCTAGTGGCTTTGAACTGGTTGATAGTGGATCTAAGGATAATGGCTTATGTGTTAAAACTACACTTTCCTCTATATGCTCTAAAAGCATTAATACAACAGCTGGTGCCGCACTGTTAAATACTGTTAATCTGTATAGCACGGCTATGAATATTAACCAAAGTAGGACTAGTTATAAAAGTTTGAACCATAAAAATGTGCACGATTTGTATGTTAATGATGTGGAACATTGTAAGATGTCGTCGGATTTGATATTTGAAAAATCTAAAGAGTTAGTTGACAATATGGGTGTGAGAACTGACTTGACACAGATAGAGAGTAAGAATGACAGTGACAGTTTGGAGAAAACGATTGACACGGGATTAAGTGACGTTGATGATGAAGATGACGACGAGAAACTTCAGATTGACGAAACAGTGTGTACGGAAGATGTGACTGATATAGAGAAGTCGCCAACGTAAGTATTAAAATTTTGTCTTGTCAATATAGTATCCGAAAAATGAACAAATTTGTCGTACATTTATTTTTTTTTTTTTTTTATTCATTTTTTTCCCCGTATTTTTTAAATATGAAAATATTTAAAGATAATGTAAAACGAAAATGATTATGATCTTTAAATTTATTTTCATTATCATTATCAATTTTTAGGATTTGCTTAGAGGTTATGTTAGTAGACAAATATATTCAGAAAAAAGATTTGCTACTTGCTTTTAAGTGTTTCAGGTTATTGCATATCTAAACCCTGAGACAATTTTTAAATTGAAAATGTAAGAAAGTATGTGGTTCCTATTCATTAATCAGATGTCATAATTTTAATTATATGGATCTAAATAATATTTTCAAGGGTTAAATTACTATTCTGTATTCTAATATAATTGATTAATCATCTGATAGTTTTTGCTCTGATACACAACACTTATGATGCGAAACATTGTGTCAATTATTTATATATATTTTTAATGAGAATCCTTCATAAATTTCTATGTTTGATCAATTCATGCATGACAATAGATCTTGAAGGGACACCACTCAGAATAATAATTTTTATTGTGAAAAATAGCCTTAAAATGAAAAGCATTGCAATGCTTTTCTGTTATTATGGCCTAATAAAATCACATATAGAATAATTGATCTTCAATTTAATTCTGAGTATATTTCTATGTTATCCTTTGCAGATTTTTCAAATTCTTGTATAAGTGCTTCACTTGATATTTTTAAGATTTTCAAATTTTATGTTTTCATGTGCCTCAGTGGGGTTCCTTTAAAGTTTGTTCAAGGGAGTTTGTTCCCTGTTTTACAGGAGTCAAACTAGGCTGCAAGCTGTACCACCTGTATTCATTCATATCGACAGCTTGGTATGAAAGGGAAGTAACTCCTTTTTTTTTTGAGTTACAACCCTTTGCATCAAGCCCTTAATTATTATTTACATCGGCATTAAATTTGTTATTAGTCCCCTACCGGTTTAACCGGAGGGGACTTTAGGTTTACCCTCCGGCCGTCCGTCAGTCCGTCTGTCTGTCAGTTCGTCAGTCCACAAAACTGGATCCCACGATAACGCAAAAAGTACTGAAAATATTTTTATGAAACTTTATATATGGATAGATGGCAGTATGGACATTATGCACGTCTTTTTTTTTTTCTTCCTATGTTGAAAATTCTGGTTGCTATGGCAACAAATAGTCTGAAAATAGGGCAAATTTAACACATAAACTGGATCCAGTGATAACTCAAAAAGTATTGAAAATATTTTTATGAAACTTCAAATATGGGTAGATGGCAGTCTGGTGATTATGCACATCTTTTTCTTTTCTTCCTATGTTGAAAATTCTGGTTGCTATGGCAACAAATAGCCTGAATTTCAAGATTTCTGATTTAAATTTTTCAGCTTTTTCACTATAAGTTCTTTATTTTTTAAGATGTTTACTTCAAACTTTAAATATAAGTTTCTGGCCATCAACCACATCATATGTGACAAGGTTTACAACTAGCACAAAAATTATCAGTATTACCTCCCTTGAACTTAGAATTTTTATGAAAAAAAATGTTGTCTTTTTTAAATAACTTCTTTATTTCCTAATGTATCTACTTCAAACTTCATATATATGTTTCTTATTATCACTCAACATTTTTGAGAAGGTTAAATACTCTAGCAAGACTATTTCCAGAATTATCTCCCCATTGAACTTAGATTTTTTTCGAGAAATTGGTATTTTTCACTCCAACTTCTTCATTCCTTATAGGATTTACTTTAAAATCCCACATCATAATAATATGACAAGGTTGTTTTAACCTTTTCCCTTATAGAAGCGAGAATCGCCGTCTTTTACCATTCCCTGATAGAAGCGAGAATCGACGGCTTTATCGATTACCGCATGTAAGCGAGAATCGCCGACATGCATGATCTCAATGGAAGCGACTTTCGCCGACTTCAATATTTACCTGTCCAAAAATCAACAATTTTCCCGTAAAATAGACCTGTAAATTGTGTTATCGTAAAGATCAACATTTCATGAGGGGATTCCGTGCATAAAATTATGGTGTTACTATTTAAAGTTTTTGTATAATTAGCGACCAACCAGGTGAGGGGTTTTCCTTACGTCACGCAGTTAATGAGTGCGCGGGTCAATGAAATAAATATAGAACGTATCGTAAGACAGGAACAAAAGTGTCTAAAAATAGCAACTAATGAATAAATAGTATTTATATGATCACGGGTCGTTCACGTGCCAGGCATGGTATAATGGATTTGATGTTTGTTTTGGTTTATGACAGATGACATGTGTATATACACGGATTAATTAACGTCCTTACTAGGGGTATCTCTCTGGCCCCTGCAATAAAATATTTCCGGTAGCAGCGGCGATTTTTTTAAGAAAATGACCGACAAAGAAATGTTTAATAGTTTAAATTCTTTCATGTGTGCTATTGTTTTCATAACAGACACAGCATGGGGCCGTGTATTATACGACATGATAAAATCATATCCCATATATCATCTTTGATGTCGGCAACATGAAAATGCCGAAAAGGCCGTGGAACTCGAGGATGTCTTTCCTTTATCATCATTTGACCTAAATTAGATCTATAAATGATAAAATTTAATTAAATTCATAATTCATGAAGAAAATATATGACCATGACAGTAGAAATTCTGAAATATTTCATTCAACAGTTATATACATGTATTACAGAAATGACAGTTACTATTATGAAATAAATTATAAAAAAAAACTAATAAAATAAATAAAAAAAAACAAAGTGAGATTTCTTTTTACTGGTATAAAAAAGGTACAAAAAGAACTTGTTGTTATTTATTTCACTAAAAATGAATGCTGCATAAACCAAAAAAAATTAATAATAAATTAGCCATATTTCCCTAATCCCTGTAAAAGAGAGAGAAAAATTATACATCATTTTATTGTTTATAACTACTGTAATTATACTGTTATAAAGCCCACAAATATAAAATTTATACCACTGGAAAGATAATTCAAATCTCTACAAATCTTACATTGACATATATATTGTCAAACTTGTAATTAAACCATTTCACATTAGTTAAAACACATAAGTAGCCTAATTTATCTGAAACAATGGAGAAAAAAAAACACCATCAAGTATATAGTGTATTACTTTATAACTCGTGTAGACATATTTGTATAAACCCAACAAATATGATATTTATACCATTGGAAAGGTATTTCAATTCTCTACAACCTTTTTATTGATACAAAAATTGTCAAAACACAACTTAATACTTTATTTTCCAGTTAAAGTATATAGGTATCTAATTTGACCAATTTTACCTATAATTTATCATACCCTATATGGAGATAGTGTGTGACTCCTTATCAGTAGGATATTGATTATTGATTATCTATCTGGCTACTGTATTATGGGGTGTAAAGCAGTAAATTAAGGGGGCTGTATCAGGGAAAAGGTTAACAGAATTTCCTTACTAGGCAGGGAAACTTAACACATTACTGTGATATAGACAAACTTAGAACTCAAAAGATTTAAATTCATTCATGTCATTCATCCACTGGTAAAATTGAATGGCCAAATGGCCCATCAGAATGCTGCTGGGGTTCTAACCGGTAGGGGACTTATGGATTGCTTGCAATACTATGATAATTGCTTGTTATTATAGTTACTGCAACATGTTAATTCTGCGTAACAAGAAAGAAGGATGTTTACTTCTTCATTATATTCAACCTATAGTGGATGTTCTTTTGCAATCACTGCATGTTAAAATTGCAAGAGTTGGCAATTTTTGAATTGGAAGATTAGTGAATAGGCTAGTTATATATTATAGTTATGACTATAATTGAGCCGTGCCATGACAAGACCAACTTAATGCGTTTGCGACCAGCATGGATCCTAATAACAAACCGGGCAGACTTTGTTGGTTTTGTCATGTCGCACCTCAATTATATATATTATAATTATAACTATATACATGAATATCAACAAATTCTGGTGACCATATTTTAATTTCGAGATAAATTTGAAGTACATAGTTATTGTAATGTAATTTAGCCTTAGTCTTCTCCACCCACTGCTTTTCACACACACTATTAATTAACAACGGAAGTTTTTTTGTCCATGACATTATGTCATTTCTTAATTTGTCCTTTTGACTATATAGGGCTGAACTGAGGGCAATTTAATCAGAATTTTAAGAATATATAATAAAAGATGCTGTGAAAGTTGTTAATTTTTTTAAAAGCAACAAAGGACATGGGTCATAATGTTTTGCTGAGTTGTTACTATAAATAGACTAAGTTTCATCAATTTTTCATATGACAGCTTCCTGTTTATAAAATAATACTGCCATGGTTCTGAGATTATATTAGTCAAAGGCCGAGTATATAGTTATTTTCAAGATCAATTAACAGTTGACAGTTAATGAGAGTAACTGTAGAAGAATTAATTCTCTCATATCAACCTTTATGATGACCTTTGGTGTCATTAAAAGAAATCTGATATTTTAAGCATTAGCAGGTCAAATAGAGTTTGTACCATTATACTTTTAGTCAGGTTTCGCTAATGAGCATTTTAAAGATGGTACATAGAAGAATGTGGCATTCTTGTTTTTAGATGCTTAAAATAAAGATGAAAGGTCATTATGGTGTTAAAGTCATGTGATTGACAGGTGTGTTATAATGTTTAAACATTCAAGCTAATTAGATTTTAATGAGATATCAATGAAAACTATAACAAGTGAGAGACACTTCCTTTCCATTTCTTTTTTTGTTTTACACCATTTTTAGCTTGACATTTTTTCAAAGGAAAACAACAAACATTGAAGTATTGGTACAGGACGGTGGCTTAGGTGGCCACAAACTTTTACCTTGATCATAACTTTTTAGGTTCTTAGTGTATTGTTTTCATATTTGATCACAACAACCCTTAGGACAAGACCTTCAAGTAAATCAGACTAATCTTGACCTTTAT